TCAGTATGTGTTTAGCGTTGATAATGGTAACATTGTTTCCGAAATACGTATCCGCGACTTTTCATTAATTTTTTTGTGGCTTTTGAGTTTAATATTTTTAATATTTTTTAGTTTTTTTTTAAATTAATAATATTTTTAATATAGTTTTAATTTTACTTAATTAATTAGCCACAAGTGATCAATTTTTATTATAAAGATCTAAAAACTTATGATTCAAATAATATTTCCAATTATTGTTGTTTATTAATCTATTTGATCTTTCAATTTATATAAAAATCGCCAACGAATTAATTTCTAAGTAAAATTTTTATTTATTACTATTCAAATTTTCTCATGTCAAATTAATAAATATTATAAAACACGATTTTTTTAAATATATATTGATTCACTTTAAGTAAAATAAGAAGCTTAATAATGTAAAAAAATGCTTTAACTCCCAAGAAAAAATTTAAATGGGATATATAATATTCCATACAAAACTGTTAGTTATATTAAATTTTCTAAGATATGTTAAAGATGTTTTTATTGTTGCTATAAAATATATTTATGCGATTAAAGAAAAATAATATAATAATAAAACTATAGAGAGATTGATATTATTATTATCCAACATCTTTAAGGTTTCATGTGACAAGTATCTATATAGTAAATTCACCGCATTTATTAAAGCTTAAGATAGTTTTTCTATGATCAAAGTTTATTAGAATTTTCTTACACAAAAATAACGTCTTGTTGCCATATAAAATAAATGAGATCCTATGAAAAAGAAAAAAATTATTAATTTATAAGTAAATAAGTAAACACAAATATTTGATTATAAATTTAAATCACTAGACTATTCTGCAATGCTATTTGATCAGCTAAATAAAAACACTTAAAAATAATATTTATTTTCTGATTTTCAATATTCACAGTTAGACAGTAAAATGATAAATAGAAATTATATCATTTTTGTTCAGGTACTTGATAATAGTTGCGAACTACTTTCTAAGTTAACTGAATTGATAAAATTCAATAGATCATTTAGGATTTGAGCACGTTAAGCAACTTTGTATATCATTTTTAAAATTATATTGTATGTTTCGATTTACAACAAAGAAATCTTATGTTATAATTCACCAAAATTGTAATAAATAGTACTGACTGTCGGAAGTAAGTACGTTTAGTAAAACAATGGGAGTAGGAAACAATAAATAGAATTTTTAAATCCGCCTCTTAATGATGTATAGTATAGAGCAAACAATTTATTACAAATTATAGATTTAAAAGAGATATAACTAAAAATTTAAATTAAGTTAAAATTAAAAAAAAAATGTGTATACTTGCAGTGGCAAAAATTCAATTAATAATTATTTCATTATAAGAAAGTAATTTGTGAGGTTATCATGTGACTAACGAGAAAACTTAAAGTTGAAATCAGGCGCGAGAAACTTAAATAGTAATATGTTATCTTTTTAAGTATATCATTTTTATGCTGATTCATAATTTTAAGTTTTGCTGCTAGAAACACAGTACACAGCGGACAAACAAATCATAAGCCTACATTTGTTTTAATAGCGATCAGATGAAGATAATATTTTCTCGTCGTGTGAATAATTGCAGACGTAGTAAAACTTTTAATTTTAAGCTTCACACTCTGAGGAAAAGCGCTGTTTGCATTTAGTGTTTTGTTAATAACTAGTGGCAAAGATCGATGGTGTTTTGTTGTATCGCCGATTACTTTTTCGTGGGAATCTCAAGATTGAAAATGGCTCGAAATACAAAGTATCTATACTGATTGAATATAATTCTCGATGCGCACTCAAAAAATGTAAACATAATTTTCCTGAAAAATTCCTAGAATTTTCTCCAACTAAAAACAATTGTTTACGTTCAACATTTTTATTTTTGCAATGTATAATTGTCAATCATTTACAGAGTTTATCTATTTTTAAACCGCCGTAGTATCTTTAGTGATACAAAGATCACAATCAAACTTTGGATTTAAATCCTCGATTTATGTACGGTCTTAATATTGCCTAGAGTTTACCGAGAAATCTTTTAAATCTTTACGAGATTACCTAACAATACTGGCTAATAATTTCTTTCTTAACAAAACTATTATTGCGCACTCCTTTATTAAGGAGTTTTGATGTTTATCTCAATCAATAGTTGTTTTTTATACAACGTCGATCCTCGATATAAAACAATCAAAACAACTATATTATCATGTTTTAAATTATGATTTATATTATAAACTTAACAAAAAAATCACGAAATTTTGTTAAAGGGAAGGACCACTCAACTTTTATATCTTGTACTATACCAAATGTTATTAAAATATCTACATATCAATACATTTCTTTTTAACGTATTTTTAACAAAACTATTATCTATTCTTATATTTTTTTTTATCGAAGAGAAGTTGAATATAATTTATTTTTGTTACAAAGTTAGTATTAATTTTTGTGTGTTTGTAAAATATTTCAAATGTTGTAAAAGTAATTTCAAACGTTAATTAAATTATAATAATTAATATACTATAATTAATAAGAAAAAAATACACAACTATTATAGTTACTTTGTTATTTATATGACTTTTTTACAATTATGATTAAGATTTGTAGAATATGCTCAAAAATATCATTAGTAATATTTTATACCCAAATTTTATTTTTTTAAGTTAAGAATTTTACACAAAATAAAAACACGAATTACATTACCATGGTAATGTAATATGCATATATAATTTATTAAGTATAAATCTACTTTTTTAATTAGAAATTTTTTCTCTGATATTATTTATTTTCAAATTATTTCAATCCCATACAACACGTTTTATGTAAATATTAATGAAAAAAAGTATTAAATAATTATAATAATAAAAAAAAAAAAACCCAGCACAGGGGGGTCGCGGCACAGTGGTGACGTGGCA